AATCTGTACCCCCAAATTGCATAGGCATATGCAAAGATATGGCTACAGAATTTTCCTCACAGGTTATCATTGATAGCAAAATATGATAGGCCAAAATGAATAGTGAAATACATATTGGTGTTTTGGTATAATAGAATACTATGTAGCTATTAAGAGTAAGTTACAGGAAAATATTTCATGAAATAAATATAGTAAGTGGAAGATATGTGTACTATATAATCCATTTTAGTTTAAAAGATTATACACCTGCATAGAAAAAAAGACCAAAAGGTTTTTTGGTTTTTTTTTTACTAATACTGTCTATTATTTCTAGGTGGTTAATTTTTAGGTTACTTAATTTTTTTCTTCTCTCTCTCTCCCTCTCTCTCTCTCGTTTAACCTGGAATAAGAAAAAAAAAAACAAAAATATTTTTTAAGTGAAAAATATACTACAAAATTCAAAGTGACAAGTATATGGCTAGCGGTCTGCAGTGGGTAGCGAAAGAGGAGGCTGGAGCGGCCCTGGCCTGGCTTAGGGCTGAGTGTCAGCAGAGGCTTCTTTGAGGAGGAGAAACTGAGCAGAGGCATCACCTCAACCACATCAAAGATGATGACAAGCAGGTGCAGGTGCCAGTGCTGGTATTTGTGAGGCAATTGGTCCCATTACTTAATGCAGCTACAGCGTTGATCCAGTCCCAAAAGAATGCAAAACATTTCTAAAATATATGTAATTGATTTTCGCTTTTCTTTACAATTCCCCATCATCCATTTATTTATTTTTCTAACAGTATGGTGAAAATTCTTTCACAACATTGTATAAAGACATCTTTCCTTCTTGGCGCAGCTGTGACTACGTTAAAGCTTTGACCTTGACATATTTCATTTATCCTAACCCCGAGTTCCTGGAGGAAAGGGATGCTGAAGACAGTGTCCAGTGTGCAGCAGGCGTTCGGTTCACACACAGGCGAAAAGCGTTTAGCTGTTAGCCTCTACTCTCAAGTCTTTTTGTTTTATTAGGATCTTTTTCTCTTGGTGAGATACATGACTTCATAGTGAAAAATTTCCAGCATAAAAAAAAATAGATTTCAGCCCTGACCGGTTTGCCTCAGTGGATAGAGTGTTGACCTGCGGACTGAAGGGTCCCAGGTTCGATTCCGGTCAAGGGCATGTACCTTGGTTGCGGGCACATCCCCAGTAGGGAGTGTGCAGGAGACAGCTGATTGATGTTTCTCTCTCAGTTTCTCTCTCATCGATGTTTCTAACTCTCTGTCTCTCTCCCTTCATCTCTGTAAAAAAATCAAGAAAATATATTTTTTTAAAAAATAGATTTCAGTTTCCAAGGGGAAAACCTGAAAAATATGTGCATTGTCAGTTTTCATTCTCTGAAACCATTTTTGTGCTGCCATATCAGTGCAGCTAGGCCTGAAAGAATAAACTATTCTCACACCCAGAGCTGAGGAGGTAGGCAGAGTGTCCTCAAAGGGCTGAAGTCCCTCGGAAGCAATAACATCCAATGTCACCTCTCCTTTGTGCGGCTAGAGCAGCAGCCATTTGAAAGATATCATGGGTAAGAAGGAGCCTATTTCAGCTCAGTTTTAAATGGTATGATTCCCAGTGCCTGAAACAGTGTCTGGTACTTAGAGTTAAATCTCTGTTGAACTATTAAATGAACAAATGGAAATGGAAGAAGAATGAACAAAATAAACCAACCATTGTTTTTGCAGAATGATGTGAAATACTAACTTCTCTGTGGTCTGAGACTTACAAATTAAGGAACAATCAGGAAAATAAATCTATTCTTTATACATTCAGACCAAGCTCAAAAGCTGCTGAGGACAGGTAGGCGATGCAATTAAGTGGTAGCAGTCTAGGTGTAAGTGCATAGGTAGACATTACCGAGTGGAGAGGGTGTCAGACGGGAGCATGCTCCACCTCCAGGGGGGTGAGGCTGATTCAGCTCCAGCCATGGATGCCATATGAGAATCCAGGCCCAATTTTGCCACTTCTTCCAGTGCTTTAAGAGAAGCTTGAAGTCTAGATTTTTAAGTTCACATTATAAATGTTGGCTCAAAATTTAAAGACAAAGAGACAATGTCTGTGTGTTTTACATACATACCTAGCCATACAGTCTGATTTGAAACTTCTCATTTCAACTTTTCTTTCTTTTTTTAGGATATTGTAGTTTATTAATTAAATTATTAACACACCTTTGTAATACTTTTACCCACGTTTTTAGCTAAACATCCTTTAATGGCCTCTTTATATAACAATTGATATTCTGTAATATTTTCTACATATGAAATAAAAAGATAACAGTCTTCCCTCTTGGAAAATTAATCAAAACTTTAAAATTGATAGTATTGAAAGCTTCTTTCATCTTCACTCTTTATTATCAGTAACATCATGTAAAACTTTATCATGTTCAATTTGGGAATACTTCTATAAAGCTTCTTATATATGAACTCTAAGATTTCAGGACATGTGAAATTTGCTTGTGCAGTAATATGTATATACCTACATTATACACCAATATATATGATTGTAGAGACAATTTATTCTTATTGAGTATTTGGATGTTTTTCTGTTCTGTTTGTTTGTTTTGTTTTCTAGATTCCACATATAAGTAAAATCATAAGGTATATGTCTTTCTTTGACTTATTACACTCAGCACAATAGCCTCTAGTTCTATCCATGTTGTTGCAGATGGTAAGATTGCATCCTTTTTTAATGGCTGAATCATATCCCATTGTATATATGCATCACTTCTTTATCCACTTATCTACTGGTGAACACTTAGGTCATTTCCATACCTTGGCTATTGCAAAAAATGCTGTAATGAACATATGAGTATATATGTCTTTTCAATTCGTGTTTTGGGTTTCTTCAAATAAATACCCAAAGTGGAATTGCTGGATCCTTATCTCTTGCTATAGACTTTGTTTTAAAGTCTACTTTGGCTTGTATAAGCATTGCTATCCCAGCTTTTTTGTTTGTTTCCATTTTTGTGAAATATCTTTTCCCATACCTTTATTATCAGTCTGTGTGTGTCTTTCAATCTCAAGTGAGTCTCTTGTTGACAGCATATGCAAGGATCTTGTTTTGCTATTCATTCAGCCTCCACATGTCTTTTGATTGGAGTATTTAATCCATTTGCATTTAAAGTAATTGTTCATATGTATTTATTGCCATTTTACCATTCCTTTTTATCTTTTTGAAATTTCTTCTTAAAGAAGACATTTAATATTTCTTGTGGTGATGAATTCCTTCAGCTTTTTCTTGCCTGGGAAGCTATCTATCCTTTAATTCTAAATGATAGCTTTGCTGGGTAAAGTATCTACTTTTCTGTGTCTAAGTATGTTTATCCTTACGACATGTCTATGTGTACTTGTGTGTCGTTGCTACATTAATTACCTCATGAAAACTGAGAAGAACAAAGAGGTAAGTCACACTTACGTGAGGGATTTTTAAGCATGAGGCGAGCTAGCGGAAAGTAGCAGAGGATGTATATTTAGGGAAAAGAGTGATTGATGGGCTATGTCG